TACATAATTTTTTATGATCAACATTTTCTCTGATCGATGTTTTTAAATAATTTACTGACTTCTTACGAAACTAATCTCCTCTCCTTCGTACACACCCTCGATCCATCAACAAAACTTGTAACATTGCATACTATCATATTTATAATATAGGACACATACGGAAGTATTTAACTAAATAAGCAACTGAAAAAATTGTCCATGCTTTTGTGATGGGAAGAATCGACTATTGTAATAGTCTTCCGTATGGGCTACCTGAGGTGCATGTTAACAAATTACAACGCGTCTAGAAATCTGCTGTGACACTGATAGCATGCACACCACGGTACCATCATATCACTCCTATACTTAAGTCATTTCACTTGCTCCCAGTCAAGTATAGAGTGCATCTCAAAATAGACACTGACTTTCAAATTAATTTATTAATTTATCGACTGATTTACGTTTCATGTCATGYGACAGCTATTGTAACGTCATTGGCATCGGCTTAAAAGATTTGGAAAGAGATGGTGGAAAACTCATATTAGTTTTCTGTATATAATTCTATAATTTCTGGTGAAAACCCCATCTAAATCGGATTGAATGACGTAAAGTTACAGCTAATTAAAGAAATTCAAATTTTCTTCGTTCAAATTTGTCTTTTTTCGAAATTATAAGTTAAATACTTCTGTATCGTAGGCCGTTAAAAAATACACTTACCATAATTTCGAAGAAAGACCATATCCAAATCCAATCCGCATTTACGATACGAAGACTTCCGGCGTGACCTCGGGTCGGTTGCCGAAGGAAATCCGTTGAACTGAAGTACAGTGAGCTCCAAGTACGTGTCAGAACAAGCGAAGTAGTATGTGAATACAGGCAAATTTCATGTCTTAAAGACGTGAAGACTAATATAATAATGCGACTTTCTCGGTTCTATAGGGATGTAAGAGAAAGGTTATGACTAAAATTTGGCGCTGGAAAGAAAATTCGAAGACGTACGAGGTTTCAAAGACTCGTAATGTTCGCTGTTGGGACTCGAGTCTCCAACCTTTTCTTATTTCTTACTGGTGG